AGGTTGATTGTAAGAGCTGCTATGCTACAAATGGCTGGTTCTCATACACTTCATTGGCACTTGAATAGTCTGAATCTCAATATCTTGTGTCTAGCTCAGGAATGTTTTCTTCTTTTTCCGTTTATCTGAGTATGTGGTACAGTTGCTCACAGAAAATCTTACATGTATAAATTTGTTTAGTAAGCAAGGAGGACACTCCTAGGAACTTGGTCTTTTTGAATTTGATCTATTCTGAATTTGTATTTCTTTTTCCTGGGTGTTAAATATTTTACGTTAATCAGTTTGGATTTGGACAAGTTCATACAGGTTGACCAGGAACACAAATCACAAAGTCTGGAATTCTGGATAACCATGTAATTCTTCCTCTGCCTGTTTCAGGAACTCACAGTAAGGGATCAGCATTAGTAATAGGTCTTCCTTTGAGTAATTGGACACCAGCTAAAGAAAGTGGGGTTTTGCCTGTTACGTGAAATGTGCATATAATGTTTCATAAAAACAAGGCTACTTTAATATGTAAATTGTTTCCATTTTGGTTTTACTATGTATATTCATTCCTTATACTTCTTCCTTACTAACTGTGAAAAGTAGGTTTTTCCTTGTTGATCAGGCCGTTTTTTTTTTGTCAATAATGAGAAATTGAAGTTGTGCAGGAATAAAAGAAGGCTGCTTGAGAGTTACTAAGAAAGTGTCGCATATAATCCAGTTTCCTGCCAGCTACTATCTTCTATATCTGTAACTTATTATAACTTAATAAATTAGTCAAAAAACTTAGTAGTCATTTATGATTCAGGTCAGTAGAATCCAGGCAGTTTCTGCTTTCTATTTGGGGAATGTCAGTATCCACAATAGTATGAATCAGCTGTGTGGGTGTTATGGCACACATCTGAGAAACTATTTGTCAGGTCCTTCAGACCAGGTGTCTGTATTCATATGCTGGCCTGTTGTTTGTCCTGTCATGGTCTCTAAGCAGAAAGGAAATCCCTTGTTAGTCACCAGCAGTAGACATCATGTGGAAAGTCACTTGAAGATGAAATAATGATTACCTGCCTCAGAACGATTGTGATTCTGTGAAATTACTGGCAGCACATTACATGTATTTTTATATGCTTAACTGCACAGTGGTCCCTCTGTGACTTTCTCCACTCATTGCAAATCTGTGGGAGAGTTTACTTATTCTATTCTACATCTTTCAGCAATGAAGAGTCACAGGAGAGCAGGAGGTATCCCGAGACTACAAGATGCTGCTGGTCTGCCTAATCTAAAACTATATGTGACATGTCTGTTTACCATTTATTTATTTATTTACCATTTATAGACTTATTCCTGAGGTTGAGCTGAAGGCTCACAGTTACTGCAGAGTAGGAATCAGGTCCATTTCTTTATATGTTATATGTCATATTTTCTTTTTTGTTTGAGCTGTTTATGGGTTTAGTTTAGCTATCTAATGTTACTAAGTTTATTTTCTCTTACTGAAGTTCTTCAGTTTACCTGTTGGTCACTTGACCTGTATCATGTCTTGAACGGCCAGTAAACATCCTTTCTTACAGGTTTTGTCAGCTTCTGTGCTAAGAGATTATTCCTCAAACAGCTTAATACATAAAATTTATTTTGATCTGCTTGTTCACATTTGTCTTCTCTTCAGCCAAGGGTCTCTACTCCTATGATCTTGAATATAGAGACGTGTTTTTGTCTTATGTCTGGCTCTGTTGCTGATACAACATAAGCTGAGTTGGACCCTTCTATTTCTTTACTGTACTTAAAATATGACTTTTCTGTAATATAATTAAGCACTGATGTTACATTAGGGTGTGACTATTGGTATTTTCTTGGGACGTGTTTTATGGGCAGAATAGAACCATATTTACAGAATAAGCAGCATGTTTTACATTAGAATAGATGTGTGAAGTAATCCTTTCTGAATTAATTGTGTGAACTACCTTAATATTTAGTGTCCTTCATATTCCACACTTTGATGTACTGTGGTAAGTCAGTGAAATTCTCTTACTAAAGTTTAATGCTGCTCATTGCTAAGTCTTTTTAACTACTTCTAACAACATTAATCTTTATTATACATGGTCTACACTTGTCTATGTGTTGTACTCTCTCATTTAGTTTAGCTAATCTGTTTCTTATATATATATATATATATATATATAAGAAAATATATATTTTTATTTTTTATTTCACTGTGCAGCTCATGATTGCTCCCTGATGAACCTGTATCACATCTAGAAATTAACACTAATGAGTAGTAGTACAACAATTGCCTGAAATTTATATCTTGTTATTTGAGCTGTGACAAAAATGTGTAATGTTAAAGTATAAAACCACTAGGCCTCTTGGCAAAGCTTTAAATATTTTTTTTATCTCTCGTAGCAAATGAGCTTTGTCATGTAGAATCATTGTGGAGATTGACCTGTCTATATGTTTAATTTATTGTTCCTAAAATTTGAGTGCATACATCCCAATTAAGCCTACAGGGCATTATTTGTCAAACATCATCTCTGTTTTTGTGTTTTGCTTAACAATTTTGGCAGCTGTACATTAAAATCATGCAGATACATGTGATCAGGTGTCTTGGATGCTGCAAAATACTAATATTCCAAGAACCTTTACCATTGTTAACAAGTTCTAGTAGCCTAGAAACTCAGTTTACAGTCCCAAGTGATTACTTACTCTTTTCTATGCTAGTTTTTTTGATGCTTAACAAGCACATGTTAAAATGATCAATTTCTTAAATTAATTTAATAGATACACACAAGACTGTTATAGGGAATTTGTCTTTTTCCTTTCATTCATTCGCAACTCTTATGTCGGGTGATCCTTTCAAATTAATATCTTTGGGAAGTGATGATTCTAACATACATTATCAAACTGCATTTTATCCCCTTGAATTATGTTTTTTATTGTTTCATGGTAGGAGTGCTGGCTGTAATTCTTGAAACCAAACTGTGTCATAATACTCATTCTGTAACTTCCATTTCCATGTGTAATAGTCTACTTGAATTGCACCATAGCTAATTCCGGAAGCTGCTTATCTTAGGAAAGTATTCTGCCTTGGAGTACTGCAAAAGCCATGCAAATAGTGCTCAAGATGCTGTTTGCTAGTCTCTGATAAATTGAATGTTCAGACAGGCAGTAACTGATGGAAACTGCAGTTAACAATGACCCTGCCTTCATGTTCAGGCAAACTATTTTTTATTTACCCATGGCAAAGGCATATTTCTTTAAGAGAAAGGCTAGCTGTGTCAGCTAGCAAAATTGCAAGACTGTTTGGCAAATTGGTTGTGTTGACAGGGTTATAAGTTTCTGTCACTAACCGGGCCCTGCTGGAAATGAGAGTTGCCTTCCCATATGACTAAGAAGTAGTAAATAGAGAAAGAGCAGATTTTTCTACTATTCCTCTGTCTCCTATGCTTTCTGTGGCAGATGGCAGGTATAATGGATATCTTGAGCTCTTTTAAGTCAGAGAAAGAGCTCTTGCAAACTGTAATGAGTAGCCTCTTTTGGCATAGAAATTGATTCAGATAATCACTATTAATCATGATCTAAACCAGCAACCCAGGGACTTTGTTTTAAAGCATCTGTTAGAATCTTGAAAAGCATTGCTAAGTTTTTCTTCTTTTTTTAAAGACAATTGGATTTTCATTAGTTTTTAATCATAAAAGCAGGTCAATTGGCAGCTAAAATAACCTTTGTTTAATTATGTATTTTGTTTGTTACTCAGTGAGAGACTACAGGCTTGTATAATTGTCATTCTGATATATACCAATATTTAATTGATTCTTTTGTTGAATGAAGTTAGCTGAAGTTTATCTGTCAGACAGGAAAAAAGAAAGCTAGGTAGCACAATTTCTAAATTTAAAACTAGCTAGTTCACTAGGAAAAGTTCTAATTAATACATTATATTAATAATTTTTTGTCATATTACCCTTCTAGATTTTTTAAAGGAAATAAGTCTTTTAAAGTCTTTCATGCATCATTTTCATTTATATGTTGACAGAAGAGTTTTTTCTCTTCGATTTCTGTCTAAGACTGAATGAGCTGGTCATTGAATTCAATTAGCTGAAACATTAAAACAAAGAAGATATTTTTTTAACATCTTCAGAAAAAGCTGTTGCTGTCAAGAGCTGGTTTAACTTTTCAACATGCTGTACACCCAACTGTCCAGCTAATGAATTGCTTTTGACTATCTTTGAAACTTTAGTAGTGATAACAAACTACTGGACTTCTGTTTGAGTATATTTTTAAATGGATAGCTTGTGGTAACTCTTAAATATAATTATAGCAGTAATATGCAAGTCTATTTCTAAAATGAAAACACATTTTTCATTAAACTGTAAGTTTGTAGCGAAGAGGGATGGAGAGAACTTGAATTTTCAGAAGGTGAAAAGCAGTACTTTAAGCTGATTGTCTAAATGACTTTCCCATGTCAGAACACTGATGATAAATTACATACAAACCATGCCATGGTCGCACAGGCCTCTGGAGCCCTGCTACCTGTCATGTATGCTGGCAGTTTGTGCATCTGTTTGTCAAACTAAAGACTGCCAACTATTAAGCTGTTAGCTGCTGCTTTACAGGAGAAAGGGGGCAGTAGTGGCTGCTATTGCCAGTGGTGGTCTGGGACTGTCAAGACACAGAGAGCTTTTAGCTGTGAAAGCATCACAGGCATGTCATACGTACATACACCTCTGTTTCATCTTGGACTGTTTGTATAACTGCTTTGTCTAGCTCTGCTGTCTGTGTTCTTGAAGTTTACTTTTCAAATTTTCGTCAAAAGTGAGCAGAAGCCAAAGAAAGATATGCAAACTTATTCAGCCAGAGATAGATAGGGAGAGTAATTTTCTTTTGCAAGTGTTGCTGATCAATTTTTAGTCACAGTGTATGTTATGAAACTTTTTCCCATACTATGACTGTAAAATGAGCAAAATGTAATGAAATCACATTCCAGAGGCATTCTTTATGAAGTTGGTGTTAATTGGTACTTTCTTTTTCAGCTAATCTGCCTGTACCTACTATTGCTGCAATAGATGGAACTGCTTTAGGTGGTGGCCTAGAACTTGCATTAGCCTGTGATATACGGGTGGCAGGTAGGTCTGAATACCTGTGGAATATGGGGTTATTAGTGTAGCTGGTTTGGCTAATCTGTCTGTTGGCAACAGTCTTATAAAACTTACTTTGACATTGTTTATAACCCATTATTTTAAAGGACTTCAGCAGAAACGTGTATCAGTACTTGCTAATGTTTCATTTAGAACAACCCAGTTAGCTGGATTGGTTTTGTTAAACATTTATTTGATTCTTCTGACCCTAATTTTATCAGTCTTGCCAGAAGGGTCATGTAATTATTTTATTTTTTTTTTTTTGATTCTTGTGCATTTGAAGTGGTCTAGATGGAGGTTTGATTTTATCTAAACAAGGGTGTAGGGAAAGAACAAAAGTTGCTTGTGAGTGTTTCTTATTACATAAGAAATTAAATTATAAAAGAGACAGCAACTCTTGAAAAGAGGAACCTTGAGCTAATAGGCTGTCAGAACTGTAAAGCAAATTTATGGAAAGTAAATGGAAACTTGGTCCTGAGCAACTGCCAGTAACTTAGGATTTATAAAGTTATTTGACCTTAGACAATATTCTATCACCTAAAGAATTCAAGTAATCATACACAAAATTCTAGCCCATTTTAACATGTTAAGCAATAACAGCCATTCTTACATACTTTCCATTTGAAAGCAAGTGTCTGTTGCTCATTGTAATTGCTTACTTGCTATGCGATAATTAATAAAGTACTTCATTTGCCTAGATGGAAGTAGTTGGATCTTTCACTAAAAGCAGATCAGTTGAATCTGTTTGAATTCTTTTTAATAAACAAATGCTTTAAAAAGTGATTTATTGCTCTTTTTGAAGAAAATTTAATATATTAGCAAACTTCAAGGTCATTGTTATGTATTTTCCATAGATTTTTTTTCCCTCTACATTGCAGTAAGAACTCCTTTATATTCTGTTTTTCAGCATCTTCTGCTAAAATGGGCCTAGTTGAAACAAAGTTGGCGATCATTCCAGGTGCAGGTATGAATGTTTTGCTTTTGCTACCACAGATAGCTAAATGACATACGTACTTAGTATTAGATTTTGAATTATGGTTTTCATAAAAAAACCATAATTCTGCTTATTTTTATATTTCTATTAAGTATTATAGCATGTGTTACAGCTTAACTGCTTGTATTATTTACCAAAATTAATTAAAAAGTGTATTTCTTAGTTTCAAGGATGGTCATCTGTATATTATGTTTTTAAACAAAGTCTTCATTAACTAACATTAAGTGATTATGTAAATGACATTTAATATCTTGATCTAAAGGTTGAATAATTTTGCTAAGCATCAAGAGAGGAAGAAGGATTATCTGTCAGAATACAAAACCAATTATTTGAATTAAGATCCACTTTTACATAACATTTTGTACTTTAGGATTCAATTTCTGTTTTTAAGCTGCTTGTATATTGGTGGTAAAGAGTTTAAGAACTGAGAGTATAGCTGTGGATAAATCTGCCTCCTTGCCAAGATTTTGTGAGTCAAAAACTTCTTTTGTGTTTTGAAGGCCAGGTTATCTGCATTTTGTAGACTTAAGGTGACTGGAAGTTATGTAACAAATAACTTCCGAAGAGTTGTTACAAAACCTTTTGTTTTTATTTTATGTATAAATCATTGCTGCTTGAATTAAGGTATTTGCTGTTCTGGGAAAAGGGCAATAACTCATAAAAAATGCGCATCCCTGTGATTTTTGGCCTTAATTTCTGGGAGTTCTTGGAAACTTTATACTGTTTCTTTACTTTCTTTCTAAAGGGTGGAACCTATTTTGAAAGCACTATATCCAATTCTAATGGATACAATTGCAGGTCACATAAAAAAAACCAATAAAAACAACCATAATGGGAGTCGTGGTATGAACTTCGTGTAAAACTGTCCCATTCCATGACTAAACTGGACAATTATTGTACAATTTCAATTACTATATTATTTTTGTTATTGTTGAGATGTGATTTCAGTCAACACTTTCTGTGGTCAGAGCTATATTTTACATACGGAAAACAGTTAAGATTGATGTCTTTTGGTGTCTTTTTAGTGGTGGATGAAGATAATAATGGAGATGATTTTAGAGATGCATTTACTGGTAGTGCTGTTGTCATGAAATTATATGCCTTAACAATAAGTCCCAGTGAAGAAAAAGACAGAAATTTATGTTGTTATCTTTGTTGTCAGTTTTTGCTCTTTGTCCTCCCACTCCCTCCTTTCCTAAGTAATTCTGTAGGACAGTATTGGAGACATACTCTCTAGTTCAAGAAATTCAGCTCAAATTCTCCATATATTTTCTGTATTCAACTTTTTTACATTGTCTCATTTCCTTGTCTTCACTTAATTATGGATGTTTCAAATTTCTGTGCCCTTACCTTAAAATGCTAGTTAACTGACACATTGTAAATTCCATTCAGAATACTTTGCTGCTATTTAAAGACTGAGGTTTGAAAAATCCTTTTTTTCTATTTTTTTTTTGTTGTTGTTTCTCATCATAAAATAATGATTCCAGTGTATGTCTTCAGCTCCTTGGAAATGTGACAGATTTAATTTTGTTACATTGACTTTTCAACTTACAACATTTTGGGGTATGTTCAGTGATGAATTTTTTCCCTATTCCTATCAGCCTCTCTGAAAACTATTTTTCTTGAATATATTTGAGCTAATCACAATTTTTTCCTGATCAGCCTGTGCTTGCACCAGTCCTGTTGAGCAATGACAGAGTTTCAACCCTTTGTACTTCTTGTCATCCAAATAGTAACTGATTGTGCCTTTTGTCATCAGAAAGTGAAGACTGAGTGGAAGAATTTTACATATGTTATTTAGGTAGAGAAGCCAGATATACACACTTGAACCGTAGGCTTCGTGGGTTAATGGAATATTTTTTGAGAGTGTTTATTTCAAAATTCTCTGAGCAAAAACAGAACTGTGGATTGGAGTGGAAAAGTGAGCTGTAGCTCTTAAGAGGCCTACATAGATTTCTGCTGCCATCTAGTACGCCTGAAATCTGCTGGCAGACAAAGTTGCTTCTTTGAACTACTTTGAACATGGCAAGCTACTGTTTTTATTCTGCTCTGTCAGCTGCCAGGAATATGTGATAGATGTAAAATTTTAACTTGGGTGATAATTAATATGGGTGTTTGAGGCTATATGGAAAACATATTTATACTGTGAGGGTTTGCTTTTTTAAAAACCCAGAAATTTATAATCAAAGAGCTGTGTTAGAAGGTTGTTACTAGAATTTAATAGTATTAAAATGTAGATCCAGGGCATATCAGCTGTTACATTTTGGACCTTGTTGCATAGTATGGTTTATTCTGTTATTAATGAAATGTGTTTATCAAAAGACACAGTGAGGTGCTGTCTATTGACCAACCAGTTTTAACACAGATTTCCCAGGTGCAAGAATTTTTTCTTTTGAATATGCACAGATCTACTGCAACTTTCTAAAGGCTAAGTTTGAGCAGCTGTTAGTTGAATTAACCAAATTGAATTGTTCCTTCTAAGTCTGCTGAGGGTCTTGACCAGTATGTGTTTATAATAGAGTATGCTGTATTGTAGAAGGTTGAATCTCCCCAGAATATTCACCCATGGCAGATAACATAGCAAGACCAAGTGGGATGACAGCAGTGCCTCCTTTTTTACAATAGCTTTGTTCACAGACCTGCTGTTCATGTTGTGAGGGAGCAGGATTATTCTTCTGCACTTGGAAATCTAAACCCAGTTTTCTGCACTATGGAAGAAGCTTAAACTGCCAGAATGGGGACAAGGAAAAGTAGAAAAACTTTCTGGTTTTCCTCTTCAACACATTTTCTAGTTTCTTTAGAATTCCATTTTCTAGTAAGGAAGGCAAGATTCAAAGGACAAGTGGAAAAGTGTAGCAGAGGGAAAAGCTTGGTAACTTGGTGATGGGAAAGTTACCTGAGAATGAATATTGATGATTTTTGTTTTCTAAGGAGAGTGCCAGTCATCATTGCACAAGTGGTCTTATGCAAACACAAAAAACACTGTCATTCTATTCTCATAGAATCACTGAGGTTGGAAAACACCTTTGAGCTCATGAAGTCCAATTGTCAAATAAGCACTGCCAAGTTCACCACTAAACCATGTTGCTAAGTGCCACATCTACACCACTCAAGCAACTCAACCACTTCCCTGGACAGCCTGTCCCAGTGCTTGACAACCCTTCAGTGAAGAAATTTTTCCTGATATCCAGTGTAAACCTCCCTTGGTACAGCTTGAAGCATTTGTTACTTGGTAAAAGAGATTGACCCCAACCTCCTTTCAGGTAGATGTAGAGAGCGATAAAGTCTCCCTTGAGCCTCACTTTCTCCGGGCTTAACAATCGTCAGGAGTTCCTCACAAAACTTATGCTCCCTTCACTGGCCCTATTGCTCTTCTCTTGACATGCTCCAGCACCTTAATGATTTTTCTTTAGGGATCCAGAATTGGACACATGATTCAAAGTGTAGCCTCATCAGTGCCACAGATGACTAGACTGTTTCTTTTGTGCTGTATTGTATTTCAGAGTCTGTATAGTTCTGTTCATCCCCTTTCTTCCTCAGGTTTCTTCACTGCAAATTCAGTGTCTGTTAGCCTGTTTTAATTTGTGGTTGACAGGGTAGAGGTTGCAAAAACAAACAGTCCCTAGAATTTTATTAAAAGTAGGTGGCCAGATGAAGGGAAAATTGTATTGGCTTCACATGAAAAGGTTTCAGCACGAACTAACCTGTTCTTCGGCATGAAAGAAAGGGCACAGGAGGAAGCTGTTGTGTATGTCTTAGCTGTGGATAATGTTTCAGTCAGAATACTCATCACAGTGGACAACAATGAGTTTGTATGAGACAGGATTTCATGAGAAACCAGACTTTGTTAACTTTGCAGTTTAAGGAGATGGTTGTTATCAGTCAAAGTGATTTTTCTCAAAGCTATTAATTGCTAAAAGGAGTTACTATTTTTTGATCTCTTAGTTAGAAACCTTTTTAACCAACTTACTTTCTGCATAATCCTGTGTCTGTACTGAACTCAAAATAGCGTGGGCAGAGTCCTTTTAAACAAGAAAATTGTTTTCATTCTCTTTGTTTTGTTTCCCAAACTGACATTAAAAATAATGCAAATATCTGTCATTAATTGAATGCAGTTTTTGGTGTCTCTCAACCTGCAAAGGAAGTGCTTTTCAATAACAACGTTCTCTTCAGACAAGAATTGTCTTTTGGAGCATTTTTGAATGTTGAAGTCCTTTGTTTTTCTGCTTTGTAATTTTTTAAAACTGTCTCAATTTGTGATGTAATTTGGTTGTTTATCTCTAGATTCTCACAGTGGATGTCATATTAAGCCTGCAATTGATGATGCCTTTCTGGCACATCTGCTTTTATTTATTAGTCTTGTATTTATATACCACTCGGTATTAGATCTGTCATGGGAAGATAAAAATGCTTGTAAAGAACATATATAAACTTCCTACTCTAGAATGAGATATATTCATTTGACAAGGGGAAGTATTCTGTGATAGCAAGAAGTAGAAAAGACAAGCATATATATAAAAAAAAAAATTGCATTTTCTTTATGCAATTTATTTCCACAAAAGATTTAGGTATAAGCTGGAGGTATTGTTATATATCAACAATTATGTTTCTACCAGAAAAAAAAAAGAACCTTCATTGAAATTAATATGCCTGTGTAAGTATGTAATTTGACCTTGCTAGATAAAAACTGGCCATTGGCCTGCATACTTACAGCTGCCACTCTTTTTTTTTTGTTTGTTGTGTTTATAAAGGCATTTTAATTAGCAAGGCTTTTTTTATTTCATCATCGTTTTGTCTTTATTCTTCCATGCTCCTCCCAGAAATCCCACTACTTCATTAGCAAGTTGTCTTCCACTTTGTTTAAAACCAAGCACATAACCCTGAGATCGTGCTTTCCTTGAGAACATTCAGTTGAAAAGCATATTTTATGAAGAAAACTTTAAAAAAAAGGAATGAAACAAAAAGAAACT